TCCTTGGTGTGTATGCCCAGAAGTGGGATTGCTGGGTCATATGGAAGTTCTATTTCCAGTTTTTTAAGAAATCTCCACACTGTTCTCCATAGTGGCTGTACTAGTTTGCATTCCCACCAACAGTGTAAGAGGGTTCCCTTTTCTCCACACCCTCTCCAGCATTTATTGCTTGTAGACTTTTGGATAGCAGCCATCCTGACTGGCGTGTAATGGTACCTCATTGTGGTTTTGATTTGCATTTCTCTGATAATGAGTGATGTTGAGCATCTTTTCATGTGTTTGTTAGCCATCTGTATGTCTTCTTTGGAGAAATGTCTGTTTAGTTCTTTGGCTCATTTTTTGATTGGGTCATTTATTTTTCTGGAATTGAGCTGCAGGAATTGCTTGTATATTTTTGAGATTAATCCTTTGTCTGTTGCTTTGTTTGCTATTATTTTCTCCGAATCTGAGGGCTGTCTTTTCACCTTGCTTATAGATAAATCCACGAACCTATGGACACCTTATCTTCGACAAAGGAGGCAAGAATATACAATGGAAAAAAGAAACCTCTTTAACAAGTGGTGCTGGGAAAAAGGTCAACCACTTGTAAAAGAATGAAACTAGAACACTTTCTAACACCATACACAAAAATAAACTCAAAATGGATTAAAGATCTAAATGTAAGACCAGAAACTATAAAACTCCTAGAGGAGAACATAGGCAAAACACTCTCTGACATAAATCACAGCAGGATCCTCTATGACCCACCTCCCAGAATATTGGAAATAAAAGCAAAACTAAACAAATGGGACCTAATTAAACTTAAAAGCTTTTGCACAACAAAGGAAACTATAAGCAAGGTGAAAAGACAGCTCTCCCGGCAATCTTGATTCCGGCTTGTGCTTCATCCAGCCTGGCATTTCTCATGATGTACTCTGCATATAAGTTAAATAAGCAAGGTGACAATATACAGCCTTGACATACTCCTTTCCCAATTTGGAACCTGTTCATTGCTCCATATCCAGTTCTAACTGTTGCTTCTTGATCTGCATACAGGTTTCTCAGGAGGCAAGTAAGGTGGTCTGGTATTCTCATCTTTTTAAGAATTTTCCAGTTTGTTGTGATCAATACAAAGGCTTGAGCGTAGTCGATGAGGCAGAAGTAGATGTTTTTCTGGAATTCTCTTGTTTTTTCTATGATCCAACAGATGTTGGCAATTTGTTCTCTGGTTCCTCTGCCTTTTCTAAATACAGCTTGAACATCTGGAAGTTCTCAGTTCACGTACTACTGAAGCCTGGCTTGGAGAATTTGGAGCATTACTTTGCTAGTGTGTGAGATGCGTGCAACTGTGCAGTAGTTTGAGTATTTTTGGCCTTGCCTTTCTTTGGGATTGGACTATTATTAATAGTTTGCTTTCTAAAGTGTTGTGCTAATTTTATTCCCACTAGAATCATGTGAGTATACCTGCTGCCCCACACCCTTGCCAAGTCTGAACAGAATCAAATATTTTAATTATTGCCAATCTCATGCTTATGGTATATGATTGTTCAAAAATTTCCCTAATTATTAAAGAGACTGAGCATATTTTCTTCAGTTTATTTGTACTTTTTTTATATAAGCTGTTTGATCATATTTTTTTCATTTTCCTTCTCTTAAGTGGAGGAAAATCTTTTGGAAGAAGAAATTTGTATGGGCTGTTTATATGTTCTAGATAATAATCCTTTGTCATTTACATGCATTGCAGACATTTCCCTCAGATTTCATCTTTTTTTTTTTTTTTTAACTTTGTGAATGGTGCCTTTGGACAGAAGGTTTTTTGTTTGTTTTTTTAATAGGGTCACATTTATCCATTGTTCCTCTATGTTTTACTTTCTATTGGTTCAAAATGACAAACTCCATTCCTGCGTTTGCATTATATATTTTGTTTTTCTTTTCTCAACTTCCTGTGCCTACTCCACCTTGCTAATCTTGGCATGCAAGTGCAGGGAAGGCTGTCTGAGCCCATCACTGCCATAATACATACCACTGAAGTATTCTGAAACCAGCTCCAATGACCTGCACCAATTTGTCCCTTGCTAGAGAATTATAAAAAATCAACTTGTTGGATAGACATAAGCCTTTGGCTGCAGTTTGGAATTATTCATGGTTGTAGACATTTGTCTTTGTGAGGTCTTAGTTATCTTTAACTCCCCACTCCAGAAAAATAAATATTATTATTAGACAATCAAGTACACATGGGGTCCAGAAGGTAGAGGGAACATAGAAGGAAAATAAAAATATTTTAATCCTGCTGGAGCTTTGCTTCACTTACCTGAAACCAAGGAGTCCCAGACCCTGAGTCAGCAAATGACAGAAGTGACAGAAAGTGAAAGTGAAGTCGCTCAGTTGTGTCTGACTCTTTGTGACCCCATGGACAGTAGCCTGCACCAGGCTTCTCCGTCCATGGGATTTTCTAGGCAAGAGTACTGGAGTGGGTTGCCATTTCCTTCTCCAGGGGATCTTCCTGACTCAGGGATCGAACCCAGGTCTCCCGCATTGTAGACAGATGCTTTACCGTCTGAGCCACAAGGGAAGTGAAATGACAGAACCAGAGATCAAACCCAAATCACCTCCAGATAAGTCACCCCTCCCCACTAGGTCCTGTGCCCTCCACCACTGCAGCAGTATCTCCATTTACAGATGCTGTCACTAAATCTCAAGGATTCTCCTGAAGGTGGTGTGGAAACAGGAGAGGAAAACTGTTTTGCTACAATAACACAGCTGCAGAAGATGGATGACAGATGTGCTGCGTGAATCAGATTTATTTGCCTATAAACACTTCACAACTTTGTGTGTCTGGGTATGGGAAATACACCTTCGTTTCATACAAACAGCAACACCAGGCTGCATCCCCTTCTCCATAGCTTGAGGGATTCTAGAGAGGTATTGGATTATAACAAACTGGAAAATTCTTAGATGGGAATACCAGACCACCCTACCTGTCTCCTGAGAAACCTGATGTCAGAAGCAACACTTACAGTTGGACATGGAACAACAGACTGGCTCCAAATTGGGAAAGGAGTACATCAAGGTGACATATATTGTCACCCTGTTTAACTTTTATGCAGATTACATCATGTGAAATGCCAGGCTGGATGACTCACAAGCTGGAATCAAGATTGCTGGAAGAAATATCAACAACCTCAGATATGCAAATGATACCCCTCTAATGGCAGAAATTGAAGAGGAACTAAAGAGCCTCTTGATTAAAGTGAAAGAGGAGAGTGAAAAAGTTGGCTTGAAACTCAACATTCAAAAAAACTAAGATCATGGCATCCAAACCCATCACTTCATGGCACATAGAAGGGGGAAAAGTAGAAACAGTGACAGATTTTATTTTCTTGGGCTCCAAAATCACTGCAGGTGGTGACTGCAGCCAGGAAATTAAAAGATGCTTGCTCCTTGGAAGAAAAGCTATGTCAAACCTAGACAGCATATTAAAAAGCAGAGACATCACTCTGCTGACCAAGGTCTGTATAATCAAAGCTATGGCTTTCCAATAGTCATGTATGGATGTGAGAATTGGACCATAAAAGAAGACTAAGCATCGAAGAATTGATGCTTTTGAACTGTGGTGTTGGAGAAGTCTTTTGAGAGTCCCTTTGACTGCAAGGAGATCAAACCTGTCAATCCTAAAGGAAATCAACCCTGAATATTCATTAGAAGGACTGATGCTAAAGCTGAAGCTCCAATACTTCGGTCACCTGATGCAAAGAGCTAACTCATTTGAAAAGACCCTGATGCTGAGAAAGATAGAAGACAGGAGGAGAATGGGACAACAGAGATTGAGACGGTTGGATGGCATCACCGACCCAATGAACATGAGTTTGAGTAAACTCCAGGAGAGAGTTAAGGACAGGGAAACCTGGCGTGACTTAGTGACAACAAATTAATAATTATCCACAAGCACATCCATTGCATTTTGCAAATTTCATGGGCAAGTCTTTTGGGGGTCACAGCTGTTTGGTCGGGAAATGAAAGAAAGAAAGGTGCTGGTTTTAAGACACATCTACCTTCCCTTCTCTACTTTCTCCAAATTCAGATTCACTCTTAAGAGAAACCTAAAAGTGTGGTAGACTGGCTGCTTTAAGAGTCCCAACCCTTCACCCCTCCCTGTGTCCAGATCTTCCACCAGGTAACTTTGCAAAACTGCCCCCACCCCACAAACACACACACACTCTGAGTCTGAGCCAGGTTGTGTATTTTGATTTAGCTAATGGGATGTCAGCAAATGAAGTGCGAGGTCAGCTGAGGCTTGAAAAAACATTTTGCCTTTCCACCCTCTTGCTTCTCTGCAGTCACCATGAGAACATGCCTAAACTAGCCTAGAGTGACCTCAGTCAAAGCCATCCTGGACCAGCCAGCATCCGTCTCAGCCCTGCCCTCACAAGCGCAGCAAAGACCACAGTAGTCGACAGTTGTTCTTTAGTCCTTAGGTCATATCCAATTCTGTGCAAACCCACTGGCTGAACCCACCAGGTTCCTCTGTCCATGGGATTTCCCAGGCAAGAATACCGGAGCGGGTTGCCATTTCCTTCTTCAGGGGATCTTCCTGACCCAGGGATCAAACTGTGTCTCCTGCATTAGCAGGCAGATTCTTTACCACTGAGCCATCTGGGAAGCCCAGAGTTGACAGAGCCCAGGCTAAATCAGCTACCTGCAGACTTTGAGCTAAATAAATGCTTACCAGTATATGCTCATCAAGGTTTTGTGTTGTTTTTTTTTGCAGTATTATTGCAGCAATTGATAATGGAATCATCTGACAAAAGATGTATCTGCATATGCCACTGTGGTACAGTTCTTGGGCACTCATCTGGTTAAATTTTCAAACATTTTAGATCATCCCAAAGCAACTCACTATAAACCTGTCCTCATCATCATTGCTTAAGAAAGAAAAAGTGCTTTTATCTCCACTTTCCTCTACTACTGTGTGGAGCAGAAGTGCTTAACCGTGGCTTTGTGGTTGAAGTCTGTCCACTTCCCTAGAGCTCAATGAGTCTTTCCATAAACTCCAGTTTCAGAGGAGGTCCAATGGCTCCCCTCTCACAGCAGAAAGATAAAGCTCGCTTGGTCTCCTGAGGAGTGCGTTTACAGCCGAGTGGTGAGAACAGCCGCGGGCACTGGGGCTGACAAGGGCTCTCCTGAAGCAGGAGCGCGGAGAGCAGTGCTGTTCTCAGGGCCGCCGCACGGGGGAGCCAGCGAGGCCAGGCCAATCCCACGAGGCGTGCAGAGTGGGCAGGAGAGCTTCCTGCGGGAGGGGGAGCTACGGAGAAAAGGGGGAGATGAGGGGGTACAGAGCACGGGGTCCAGAAGAACTGCTCTCCCAATATGACACCACAAGGTCCCTCGGGCAGGGGTTCCTCACCCAGACCGGACACCATGTCCGTCCTGAGGCGGGAGGTCTGGACCGTGGCAACTTCCCTTGCCCGAGAGGGATCTCCCCGACTCTGCAATGCCCGGTTCAACTCGGGAGGGGCCCCAGAAGAGTGAGAGGACCGAGGAGAAGAGGTTGACAGAAAATGAGAAAGGCAAAGAGGAGAAGGCGCCTTAGATTCTGTCCAACACTGGCCTGACCCTGGTCTTGAACTCAAGGACTGAGGACGAAGGCTGTGGGGACACTTAGAGAGGTGTCAACTTTTAATTTTGTCAAATGACAGATTAATAAAAAACACATCTCCAAATCTACCGTCTTTTGTCATACCTTTTTTAGAACAGGACTTCTTGACCCCGAATAAATGGTAAAAGCATAATCTCAGTATAGAAGAATGGCCTTTACCCCAAAATGAGTTAGTAATCTCATACCATCTCATATATATATGATAGTATGTATATATATGATAATATTATGATAACATATATGACTATAACTGTATATTTAATTTTGTTTTTCTCATTTCACGTTAAACTTGTGAAGATTTCGTCACCGCTCCTGGCCTCTCTCTTTGCTGGGTGCATGTTCCTGCAGGACTAGTGGTGAAAGGCAAATTATTTCATGGGCCTTTGGGAGATCCAGAAGATGGAGGACCCCTCCATCCCAAAGGAAGTCTGAACTCTGTGGTGGGTAAGGTGGTGAGGAGGGGCGTGGTCAGAGGCACAGGCTGTAAACTGCACTCACTGTGCTAAACAATCAGGCTGGTTGGAGAGGCTCCGCCCCCGGTGCTTGCCTGCAGTCTAAAACCGCCCACATCTTCCTCTTTTTCTCCCACCCACTTCCCAGTTTTCTCCCGTCCATCTCCCCACTTCTTCCTGCTCCCACCAGGACAGTGATTCACAGTGTGGTACTTCTACTTAATGTGTTAAAGTGAAAGTGAAAGCCCCTCAGTCGTGTCCAACTCTTTGTGACCCCATTGACTATACATTTCATGGAATTCTCCAGGCCAGAATACTGGACTGGGTAGCCTTTCCCTTCTCCAGGGGATCTTCCCAACCCAGAAACTGAATCGGGGTCTTCTGCACTGCAGGCAGATTCTTTACCAACTGAGCTATCAGGGAAGACCACTGAATGTATTAAGTCATTAAAAAAAAATCCTCTACCATCTCGGCTTTTGCTTTTAAAGTTCAAAACCTAAGGAATGTATGACCTGCGTAGAGAGAAGGATAAGCTGAAGTCATTTTCTGTACTTGCACAGTGGGCAACTTCGATGCATGGGCTTTGTGTTCCTGGCATGTCTGTGGAGGGGCAACTGTCATTCCAGGATGGCAACTGTGAGCACAAAACCTTTTAGCTTCTGAAGGGGTTAACTCTGCTCTGATTAGCAGATGGGAGAAGCTGAAAATGCTAGTGATGAGATAATTGGAATAGATAGGGACTCTGGGGGAGGGGGGTGGTTTGCAGGTGTTGAGACATGAACAATGTAACCATTTAAAAGGAAAGAAACCACAATATAACTTCCAACCCAAATTAATGAGGAAAGATGGATGCGGCTGCAGAAGGCAGCTGGAAGGGAAGGCAGAGCAGAAGGAAGCCTGCAGTCCCTTCCCCTTCCGTGTGCCTATGGAAAGTGATGAACCAACCTGGGCTTGGCAGCCAGGGAGCAGCCATTGTGAATGAGAAAACACCCTCCCATCCCAGCACCTTTGAGGGCTTGATTTAACACAAGGCTTGGGATGGAAGTCATAATAGGAAAACATCACTTTTCTTTCTTTCTCTTTTTCCTTTTTTTTTGTTTGTTTTTAAGAGACCATAATTAACATTAAAGATTCAGTTTGTTTAAAAATAGAAACAGATTAAGTCTTTTTACTAGCAACTTTGAGTTAAGGCTGCTTGAATTGGCAGCCTTCCTACTCCTACTCAAGCCTAGTTTGTCTTGTTTTAAAACCCTCCTTTGCTTCTTTGGAGGTCAAGAGGCATGCAACGCTGGTGACCTGCTGATGCACAGCTTCCCATCTGTATCTCAAGTCAGTGCTGGGAGGCCAACAAGGGCACGTGCAGGCCTGGGGTTCACAACGGGTGAGACAGAGAGGCCGAGGCTGGGCTGGGCTGGTGGGAGGGGCTGCACCTCCAGGCAGGGTGAGCTGAGCTGAGCTGCGAACTGGGCGGAGGGTGGAGGAAGCTAAACCATAAGGAATGCCAGCACATTAGTGGAATGGAACAGGATGGAAGAAGTGTGTCTACTGGAGCTCTTTTCAGGAAGGGGATTGGAAAGACTCGTTTGATAAGCTGCTTTAGGGTAAAGGGGAGATGTGGAGACTGCTAAGGGACATGTTCAAATAAAAGTTATGCGGGGCTTTGTTTGCCTGGGCAGAGGATGCAGGCTGGGGCCAGAGCTGAACTGCCTAACCCGACAGAAGCGAGGGATAGTGCTGCCACCAGGACGCCCTCATGTTAATCCTCAGCATTAATTTCTGAATTAACAGAAAGCTGACAATTCAGCCTGTTCTCTAAGTAGTTGCTGAATAAACCTTTCACCGTTTTGAAGAGATTTCAGACTACTCAGGATGCCCACAGCCCTGAGGTTCTGCGTAGGGGAGGCTTTTGAACGCCTTGAATGGCTGCCAGGAACTCCAGGACGCGCTGTTCCAGGGGACAGACTAGCAGGTCAGTCACACACCAGGGGCCAGACCACATGGGCCTGAGAACTGCCCCCTTTCTGGAGGAGATGAAACAGGAGGGAAGAGGGCAGGGCACAAGCTTTAAAAGAATGACATGGTCATAGGACGTAATGAACACTGGTTAGAACCAGTTAGGTCCAAGATGGCAGAAGATTCAACTTCCAGTAGACGTTGAGCCTCCTTATACGCTGTTTGTAACACATTAGCAAGCTAAATGACGCACCCGCCTGCACCGTGACCGTTCCAAGGCCAACCATAAAAGGTCAAAAAATGGGTAGTGGCGCAATTCCCGGAAATCTTCACCCATTCTCTGAAATCTTCTCACTCATTAGCCTATGAAATGATCCAGCCCATAAAAACTAACCAAGCCATATTTTGAAGCGCTCTCTCATCTTCTAAGATGGCCCACACTCTGCCTGTGGCGTGTTTCTCTCTAAATGTGCCAACTTCTTACCTATCACTTTGTCTTCAGATTCTTTCGGCACCAAGCAAGGACCTCAGATTAACCAGACACAGGGAGAAGCCTTCCTGTGGGTGGGCAGTCCAGCAACTTCTTTGAGGTTGTGGTATGTATGGTAGCTCAATCAGATTATGATCGTATCAGACGGTTCTTCAGAGAAATGAAACCAATAGGACATTAGCTATCGATAGCTGTGGCTATGAAAAGTGAAAGCATTAGCCACTCAGTCATGTCTGACTCTTTGTGACCCCATGGACTGTAGCCTGCTCGGCTCCTCTGTCCATGGAATTCTCCAGGCAAGAATACTGGAGTTGGTTCTGCTTCCCTTCTCCAAGCTATGGCTATAGACATAAAGGTATAGATGAGGAGATTTATTCTAGGAATTGAGTGCAAGCTGGAGACCTAGGAAAGCCAGTGGTGTATTCTGTCTGAGTCTCAAGCCTGAGAACCCAGAGCACCCATGTCCAAGGGCAAGAGAAGATGGATGTCCCAGCACAAGTGACGGAAGAAAATTTGTCCTTAATCTGCCTTTTTGTTTGATACAGGCCCTCAGTGACTTGGATGACACCCATGCATTGGTGAAGGTGATCTTTTTTTGCTCAGTCTGCTGATTCAAATGCTAATCTTCTCCAGAAGCATCCTTATAGACAGACCCAGAAATAATGTTTTACCAGCTATCTGGACCTCTCTTAGCCCAGTTAAGTTGGCACATAAAATTAACCATCGTAGTGATAATGTGAACTGAAAACTCTCTTAGTTATTCCTCCAACATGCTTACCTGGATTCTCAGAAGCAACCCTGAGTATAGGAGGGCCAGGGAAGAGAGTCTACGTTTGATGGACAAGGGGGTCTTTCCTCAGATGATGAGTCCTAAGAAATAAGGGTTGTGACCCAGTCTGCTTAGTTCAACCCAAACTCTGTGTGCCTGGGCCTGGTTGGGTGCTGAGGATATGCGATAGAGAAGAAGACTTGGTCTCTGACTGGATTCACGATTGAACAACAGGGCAAAGTGAATGACGACACAGCCGAGTAAATGCTGTGGTGGGGAAGACACTCTGGCAACAGGGGGTGGCTGGGCCCTGCCCTCCCACACCTTCACCAGGACCCAGGAACATGATTTCAAAACCCGTTAAACAATCTGACGGAGGAAATGTTTAAAGGAACTTGTTTGAATATTGAAGTGGTTCTCAGGGCAGAACATGGCAGAGCTCCATTTGGCAGAAGCAAGGGAAGGAAGGAAAGGGGGATTGTTTTTTGGCAAATGAAGTAAGAGCAGAGTACGGCGGGTCTTAAACGCCTCGAAAGAAGATCCATCTTCACTCTATACGTTATCAGTGAACCTTGAGGATGAAAGCTGTGTGTCCGGTCTCCCTTAATACCCAGCATGCTGTGGGTGAGGCTGCCCGTCATCCTCTGATGCCCATTCCTCCCACCCTACAGGTGCTGGATGCCTGCAGAGACTCCACCTCCCAGCCTCCTCCACGGCTCGGTGTGGCCACGGGGCTAAGCTCTGGCCAGTTGTAAGATAAAGTGCCACATGCCACCTTCAGACTAGATCCTTGAAAGCATGAAAGGGAAGCTTTCCCTCCTTCCTGTGATCAGGACGCAGACAGGACACAGCTTGTTCCCTGTACACCTCAGGCGACAGAAGAGCAACAAAGAATAGGGAGTCTGGGTCCCTGCGTGGTCTCAGGGAACAGTTTCCTGCCCATCCTCAACCAGCCCTACGACAGGCAGGTATTGCTAAATCATGTCCGACTCTTTGCAACTCCATAACTGCACCATGTCAGGCCTCCCTGACCTTCACTGTCTCCCGGAGTTTGTTCAAACTTATGTCTATTGAGTCAGTGATGCCATCCAACCATCTCATCCTCGGCCCCTTCTCTTCCTGCCTTCAATCTTTCCCAGCATCAGGGTCTTTTCCAGTGAGTCAGCTCTTCACATCAGGTGGCCAAAGTATTGGAGCTTCAGCTTTAGCATCAGTCCTTCCAATGAGTATTCAGGGTTGATTTTCTTTTGGATTAACTGGTTTGATCTCCTTGCTGTCCAAGGAGTTCTCAAGAGTCTTCTTCAGCACGACAATTTGAAAGCATTAATTCTTCAGTGCTCAGTCTTCCCTATGGTCCACCTCATAGCTTTGAGTATGTGGACCTTTGTCGGCAAAGTGATGTCTCTGCTTTTTAACATGAGAAATGAACATCTGTTACATTTGGACCCTAGTATTTTGGGGGTCCCTTGGTTATAACAAGTTAATTTGTACCCTAACTATTACACTGGGCTCAGTATGGTTGAGCTCTATTAAATTATTTTTGGAAATTCATAAAGAAAAAGTCAATAAATGGCTATGGAAATAAACAAAGACCAACTGAATGGAAAAGCGAAAACTATTCAAAGCTTGCTCTACAGCGGGGAGTCAACCACTGTCTTTGTATCTAGCAGAGACCCAAAGGCAGGCAGAAAAGTAGGAAAGCTTTACAGTGGGAAACAGGGAAGGTTTCAGGGAAAAGGGAAGCTGGAGGCAGGCTAACTAGAAGCCAGCATCCTATGTGATGGTTAGGGGGACATATCTGATTTTTTTTCTGACAAAAATTAGGGAGGCTGGAAGTTATTATTCAAGCCCTGGCCATTTGGGGCTGACTGTGAGGGAAGTTACTGTATGGCTTCCCGGATTGTCATCAGAGACAGCAGTCTGGCTTGCTCCAAGTCTGACTTACAGCAAGCTGGCTTCCTGGGCTATTTATTGCAGATGAAGAGGTTGGTTTTCTGGGCAGGCTGCTCCAGGCTGTGGGTTAGAGTTGTCTTTTTATGTAAGGTCTGGTCATTATCTGTTTGCATCTTCAGTTTCTCGTGGCTGATGAGAACAGCCCTATCACAGAGGAGAAATGATGTTGACAGGGTAGTGTTTTCAAATAATCTCCCTGGCCCAGAACAGTGGAAGGAAGTAGGAGATTTCATTTATTCCTGATGGATAGACAGAGTGCTGCACTGAGAACGGGCCAAATCACAGAGACAAAAAGAGAGGCCTCGGGGCTGAGGAACAGGAGCGCTATGGCCCAGCAAGCCTTCGGGATTTCACTGGTGCTCACAGCCAAAGGGTGTTAGAACTTGAGCTGCTCCTGAGATTTGCCTGGGGAAAAAAAAAGTGGCCTGTGAGCTCATCGCTGTTGGGTTCCCCAGGGACTTGGGCTGGAGGACAAGGCTCCAGGCCACCCTCCTCATCATTATGACTCCCAGAAGCCCAGCGAGCCCCAGAGCACGCTTGGCGGACGTGACAGACCAGTGGTCACAGGAGAGGTTTGCTTTTCTTAGCGTGAAGCCAGGCGTGAGCGGGCCGGCACTGAGGAGGCCCCTGATTGCCCGCAGATGTCTGAACGGCGCCCAGCTGGCAGGCCCGGCCGCTTTCAGGTCTGGCTTCCATTCCAGTGGCGAGTGGACGAGGGGACCTGTCTCATGGAGCCGAAGGCAGCTGCTGGGAGCCCGCCGCAGGCCGCGTCCCTGACTGGGGACACCTCTCCTCTGGTCACGAGCTGCACACACTCAAATCAGTGCACTTTTGGGTCCAAGAACACTGAGTGTTGATGTTTGCTGGAGACGAGTGCTGCTTTATGCTTTGTTCTCTCCATGGTTACTCAGCCTCAGCCTCGCAGGCTGCTTCTCCTGCAGGCTCTTCAGGGACCCCAGGAACCTCAGGCGATCCCCAGGGAGGAGGCTGGGCTCTGTTCTCATGTGGAGCAGGCCTAGGGAGGGCGTTGGCCATCCCGAGGCAGGCTCCTGAGTTTCCAAACGTAGCATTTGTTAAAGGAAACTCTCAGTTCTCTCCTAAAATCCTGCCCTCTTCCCTCGGTCTTCCTCGTGTCCATAACTGGCATCATCATCTGCTCAGCGGATCAAGCCCCAAGCCTAAGAGCCAGGCCTGATGCTTTCCTCTCCCTTGCCTCCCATTTCGGTCAGTCCCAGCAAGGCTCCCTTCAAAGTGCATCTGGAAGAGACTTCCTTCTCTCCATCTCCCCTATTTCCCTTTCCTCCTACAATCCATTCTCCTGCTAACAAGAATGATTCTCCCCCTCGTGGAAAGGCATCTGGACAAACTATAATTCAGAAAGACACATGCACTGTGGTGCTCATAAGCAGCACTAGATTCACAGCAGCCAAGACATCCATCAACAGATGAGCCGATAAAGAAGATGTGGTACATACAGTCAATGGAACACTGCTCAGCCTGAAAAAGAACTAGATAATGCCATCTTCAGCAATGTGGCTGGACCTAGAGATGACCATACTAAGTGGAGTAAGTCAGACAGAGAAAGGCAATACCATACAATGTCACTTACATGCAAAATCTAAAAAATAATGCAAATAAATATCTACATGAAACAGAAAGAGACTTACACACATAAAAACAAGTTTATGGTTACTAAAGGGAAAAGGAAAGGGGAGGGATAAATTAGGAGTTTGGGATTAACAAACTCCTATAATTAATATAGACAACCAACAAGGGTTTATTGTACAGCACAAAATACTATATTCAACATCTTGGAATAAACCACACTGGAAACATTTTTTAAAAGATTGTATATGTGTGTATAATGGAGTTGCTGTGCTATATGATAGAAATTAAATACAACATTGTCAATCAACTATGCATCAATAAAATTTTAAATGAATAGATACAAAATAAAAACAAACAGAAAAGATTCTCTCAAAGTGGGCAGTGCTCTGCAAGAACTGCTTCTACCCTCCTCGCTCTGCTCTCTTCACACTGGTTTTCTTTCCTTTCTTCTGCATATCGAGCTCTTTCCCCCTTTTAGGACCTTTCTTGGTCTGAAATATTCCCACCATTCCCACAACTGACATCTACTCATTAATAATTTTTGAGTTAAGCCATATGACCCAGCAATCCCACTGCTGGGCATACCAACCAAGGAAACCAGAATTGAAACAGACATGTGTACCCCAAAGTTCATCGCAGCACTGTTTACAATAGCTAGGACAGGGAAGCAACCTAGATGCCCATCAGCAGACGAATGGATAAGAAAGCTGTGGTACATATACACAATGGAATATTACTCAGCTATTAAAAAGAATGCATTTGAATCAGTTCTAATGAGGTGGTGAAACTGGAGCCCATTATACAGAGTGAAGTAAGCCAGAAAGATAAACACCAATACAGTATACTAACGCATATATGTATGGAATTTAGGAAGATGGTGACGATGACCCTATATGCGAGACAGCAAAAGAGACACAGATGTAAAGACCAGACTTTTGGACTCTGTAGGAGAAGGTGAGGGTGGGATGATGTGAGAGAATAGAATTGAAACATATATATTATCATATGTGAAATGGATCGCCAGTCCAGGTTCAATGCATGAGACGGGGCGCTCAGGGCTGGTGCACTGGGATGACCCTGAGGGATGGGATGGGGAGGGAGGTGGGAGGGGGGTTCAGGATGGGGGACACGTGTATACCCATGGCTGATTCATGTCAGTGTATGGCAAAAACCACCACAATGTTGTAAAGTAATTTGCCTTCAATTAAATTAATTTACAAAAAAAATTTTTTGAGTTAATGGTAGATGGATGACTGGATTGGTAGACGGATAGTCTTTTTGGAGCAGCATAGGACCAGACCAAATTCCTCATAAAGGTCACTTGGCTCTGTAATTCCCCAAACTGAGCCAAACTGTGCCTGGCCTTAGTCCATAAGTTTAGACAGGTGTCGATTCAGTTCAGTTCAGTACATATTTATGGAGTGCTTACAACGTGCTAGTCCCTGGAGATACAATCAGGAACAAGACACAGAGCTTACAGGAAAGAGGAGTGGGAGAAAATTAAATATGCAATTATAAAGTAGAACAGTGCAATCTATAATTATGAGAGGAGAAGGAGGGTGCTGTCAGAGCACACAAAAGAAGCAGGTGAATGTAGTCTGAGGAGTTCCGGGAGAAGACGAGACAGCCTTTCTGAGCACTATGACGGCTCATCGTTCTAGGCACTTCACAAATAATGTTTCCTCTCCCTACAGCCGTCCTGCCAGGGAGGTATAATTATCACCATACTACAAACGTGGAGACAGAAGCAAGCTGTATGCCCAGAGTCACTGTGTTAGAACAGATCCCCTGGGACACGGGCTGAGGTGGACACATTTGCACACAGGGGTGCCCTTAGAAATGGCACCTTGAGGGGATACAGCCAATAGGTCAGGCAGGGGGCGGTGGAGCAGAGAAGCAGATAGCTCAGCAGCTGCTGTGGGTCCTGTGGGGGCTCTAGAGCTGGGAGGATTGCTCTGAATCAAGGCATGGCCTTTGAGCTCTGAGCTGACCAGCCATTGAACCCAGCCTGTTCCTGAGAGAAGGGTGTAGGCTTGGGTATGGTAGCCCCGTCCATCTGATGGCCATTCCTGGAATGGCTGGGGAGAGGCTGTTAACTGTCAGCCCTTGGGAGAATGAGAACGTGGTCCCAACCCTGGTGCCTCCACCGCTCCTCAGTCCCTGCGTGGGTAGCTTGCACTTTCAGTGTTGATGTCATGTTGATGTGATGCCTTAACATGATGCAACATTGACATGTTAATGTTAATACGATGTCCCGTCTCTTTCCTGTTTACCATCACTCTTAAGGACATCATAGATCTGCACAATTTTAAACACCATTTATAGAGTCCACACTTAGATCCTTAGTTTAGGCCTCTCTCATGCACTTCAGACTCACATACCACTCGACTTATCATCCTCACCTAACATCTTCACGTAACATTTCCTAAAGCAACTTCTGAATTGTTTGGGGGTTTTTTGGCCATGGCTTTTGGGATCTTGGTTCGCCAACCAGGGAGCAAACCCAGGCCCATGGCAATGAAAGCATGGGGTCCTAACCACTAGATCACCAGGTAATTCCCCAACCTCTGAATTCTTGCCCTCCCTGCTGCCAGCTCCCCCGGCCCTTCCTATCTCAGTTAACAGCACCTCCACTCTTCCCAGCTGCTCAAGCCAAAAGCCTTGGATCACTCTTTTCCTCTGAGCCCTCAATTCAATCCATTCTTCAAAATACATCCTACAGCGTCTGCCCATTTCACTCAAGGTAAGCGCTCACAGAGGCCTGGTCTTCCGTTCTCACCCCTGACAACTTACTTCCTACCCCTGCCAGCCCACCCCGTTCCATCCAGACAGGAATGGGGGGATGGAGCCCCACCCCCATACATCTTTCTAGGTCACTCCTTCATCCCCTTCAAGTCTTACGTCCACCTGTTCAGCAAGGCTTCCCTGAGCACATTATTTAAAGTACACTCTCCATTCTCGTTCCAGTTTAATTTTTTCGTGAGCACCCATCACCTTTTAACAGATAATTATTTATTTCCTGCCAATCCTCCCCGCTCCCCACACCCCAACTGCACTGTAAACTTCATGAAGGCAGGGACTTTCCTGTTTGTTCACCACGGTCTCCTGGGGAGCTTGAACAGAGCCTGACACACGGGCATTCAGGAAGTGTCTGTTGACTGACTGACTGACTGAAGCAGGGCAGAGGGTACTCAAGCAGGCCTGCCTGGTTCCAAATGCATGATGCTACGCACACACCACACCGTAAGTCTCCCACACGTACAACTCCCTCAGGATAGACGTAATGCCATTAAGAGGCCTAAAGCAAATCTTGGCCTTGCACGAAGTCACACAACATAGTGGGCTGGGGTCTACATGTCAAAAGTGATTCCAGCTGGGCTGTATTTGCTGAGCCAAAAGAAATTCTCAGGGCACTTCAGAGGTGAAAACCCGGCCCTCAGGGCCCCTGTGACTGGAAAGAGAAGCTATCAGGGCCTCTGGAGTCCTCTGTGAGTGAAGCAGGTGCAGATTCTGATGTGTTCAGTGACCTGCAGGGCTTTCTGTGGCCATCCACAGAAACGGATGGTTCACCGCTGACGTGGGGAAACCTGAGCTGTACACTCCCGCAACACTCCTCAAGCCTTTTCTTTCTGCCTGTCTGCTAGGACTTTGACCCACTGTCCACATTCCGATGTCATTCAGAATTTGTTGTCAACGGAAATCTGAGGACAATGGGTTTGGCCACGTTATTTTAATCAGACCGACATGTAACTGGGTCGTCTTTATTTTTAAAAGAACCAGAGCCAGCATGGGGTAGGGGGAAAGACTGTGGCTTTAGGTTCTGGTCTGAGGCCAAGTTTACATTCTTATCAACAGTGTAGGAGAGTTTCCTTTTCTCCACAACCTCTCCAGCATTTACTATTTCTAAACTTTTTTTAAATGATGGCCATTCTAACTGGTGGGAGGTGGTACCTCATTGTAGTTTTGATTTGCATTTCTCTAATAATTAGTAATGCTGAGCATCTTTTAATGTGCATCTATGTCTTTTTCAGAGAAATGTCTGTGTAAGTGTGATGCCCCTTGTTTTATTTTCTTTTTACATTAATTATATGAGCTATTTATAGTTTGGACAATAACCCCTTGTAAATGGCTTCGTT